AATGAGTTAGAATTAGAAGTTTGTTTGAATAGAAGTGGTGAGTTAACTTGTGGAAGTATTTGTTAACATAAATTTATTTGTTATTTATTTTTTCAGGTTAGTTCGATTTCTGTATCAAAAGCGTCTGAAAAGTTGATTATCTCTCGTGAAGAATTTGATGATATGAGACATTTTCATATGTTTAGGTTTTTTATTTGAGACTTCTTAGAATTTGTTTAATTTTTGTTTGTATGAAATTCTTGTATTTTTTGTAAAACTAAAATTTATTTAATATTATAAGTTTTATATTAAATTCAATGTATGACTTGTTGAAAAAAAAAATAAATAAATAAATAACCCTTGGGAGACGAAAACGAATTTGCAAAACCATACAAAGATTTCGAATTAATAATTTGAAAGAGGAGATTCCTTCACTACTCAACTATGCACATGCAGACAATTTTGGATTGGTTTGACAATGATTTTCAAAATTCTTTTAAAACTGCAGATTTGTTTACGGATAACTTTCATTACACCTAAATCTTAAAAACATCCAACATGATAATTTATTGACTTCATGGACGGTGATCAAGTTGAATATTTTTCAGTTGGGTAATTTGGATATTTCTTTTTGGTTGAGTTTGGAGAGTTTTTTGGTTGAATTGTTGGTTAAATTTGGATATTTTCATGATTGAGTTTAAACCATTCCCTGACTTGGTCCAATACTAGAGCTTAAATTTGAGGGAGAAAAGGAATAAAACATTAAAGTTAATTTATTCGTGAGCGTCTAGACCAGTTTATACATATTTCAATTCATAAGATATTATATTCTAGATGAGTAGTCATCATATTTCAACTAATCTCACTGAACAACTGTCTGATCCTATCATATTTGGTTGTCAAGAAAATTCTAGATAAGTAATCATCATAGGAACTCATTCCCTCTAAATTCTTTAGAATTTACTTCGGCACCCTTAAACCAATGGACCAATCTATAATAAAGTCGAAAATATTAAAGTAGCAAATAGCAAAGCCAGTAGCCACAAAAAGAATTTCAACAGATCCCATAATTGCATGAGGGTCAGATGATATGCTTGGATTAAATGGAAATTAACAAACCCATCTCCCAAGTTTATGGAGATCATGTAGCAGAGAAATGGAAAATGGAGCTGCAACAACATTATATTCTTTAAAAACTGATGGGGGACAGTACTCTCAAGAGTCAAGATCATAACCTCAGACTGAGAGTTCAATACTACAAAAACAGCCACAATACAAGCTTCCCCTTCTTCTAAATAAAACATATGGTATTTTAATCAAGTGCATAATTGATGACATTATATAGATATATATATATATATATATATATATATATATATATGTTACGATAATGTTGAAGTATATAAATATATATATAATATGGTGTGAGAATGAAGCTTACACGAGTTGGAGAGAGATGTGGTTGTTGAGTTGAAAGTAGTTTCTTGAGTCATATTGCTCGAAATTTGGGGCTCCTCCTTCTCCCATTGCAGTTGATGGGTTTTGGTTTTGTTGGTTTCTATCGCTCTCCGCTATCTGTATCCATACATTACCAATTTCCCATAAATATTTTTCATTGATGTTCCTTTTCTTCTTCTCCAAGCTGATTTTATTTATAAAAACTAAAAAAAGTTTAATATATGTTTTAGTCTACGATGTGGAAAGTTTTGATTCTCATCGAGATTTCTAAGAAATTGGTAAAATTTCAAGTTTTTCTTTATGACATTTTTTCTCTCCTAAATTTTAACCAATTCACTAAATTATTATGTAGCAAGTTTTCATTGGCTAATTTTAATATACAAAAATGGTTGCGGACGAAATTGAAAAAAATACGAAAGCATTAGGAACTTAAAAATTGAAACTTTTTGAGCAATTGAGTCTAAATTAAAAGTTTAGAGATTAAAATATATATTTAATCAGAAAAAAATAATAGGGGGAGACAAAAAGATAATTATAAGATGGTCTAAATTAAATATTTGATACTAGCTTGTACCAAATCAGATATAACTTATAAGTCATCGAACTATGACAATTTGTTTGTTTGGTGTTTTCAATTTGTTTGTTTTGTGTTTTCTATTTTCAAAAAACCATGCTAAATTTGATAATATTCTCTAATTTAGTAATATTCCATAAGCTTAAATGATAACAGCATGCACTAAATCTATTTTCGAAATCTAAAATTTGAAATTAAAGACTGGTTTTGTTTTGTTTTTCTTTTCTCTTTAAAATTAAGCTACTTATTTTTTGATTTATTCATTTGGCTTTCACATTTTAGAACAAATTTCATCCAAATTCCAAAAATGTATAGATTTCTTATTTTTAGAACTATTTTTAATTTTCAAAATTGGACTAAAATGTCTAAACAACTTTTAAATTAAACAAAATTTTAAAGATTGATTTAAAAAAATAGAAAAAAAAAAAAAGAAATTATGAAATGGCCTAAATAAAAAATGTTTTTAATATTTTGCTAGGATTAAAACTAAATCCGAAAAAATGCTAGTAGTTCCTATAAACTCAAATTTTGTAAAACAAAGATTAGAAGTAAAATCGTTGATGTTAATAATGTTTGAATTATTTTTCAAATCAGTAATTTCTTGTTTGACTGTGAAATTGGAAGTCCTTAATGATATCATTATAATAATAAAAAAATCAAAATCTGCAATTTTTACTTAAGAGAGAGGGGATGAATTGAAGATGGAGAGACGACCTTTGCTCGCAGCAGCTGATTATTATTGTGCAGCTCAACTTCCTGTATTAATTAATTTTAAACTTTATCACAAACTAAATTACATGCACCAAATCGATTGAAGGTAAATTACGAGTTCAATAATCAAAAGAAATCTGTGTACCCTTTTCTGCATGTACTCAATCTCCGCAAACAGAAGCTCGTTCTGCGCACAAAGAGAGAAGAAACAAAATTATGAGAAATTTATCAAGATGGAATTAGGGTGGATTAATTAAATTTTACCTTTCTGGATCGAATTCGGCTAATTCCTTTCTCCAATTTGACCTCCAGGCTTTTCAGATCTTTCACCGACAACGAACTTATGGAATCCCCCAGCAAATGCCTTCCAATCCATCACATTAATGAAAAATCGAGGATCGAAGCAGAACATTAATGGAGTTTATTCATTTATTACCTGTTTAGGTTTTGCAAATTCCCTATCTGAGATCGCAATTTGGCGGATTCTTGCTGGTAGAACTGTGAGACAATTAAAGATCCATCGGGAAGTTACGATTTAATTAAGAATCAGAAAAAGAAAACCCTAATTTGATATGGAGAGCTCACCTGAGCATTGGCTTCAGAAACGGATCCGGCGCTGGAAGGATCCGAACATGCCTTTTTGTACCTCGAAATCGTCGCCCGAACACTGCAAACCAACGGTCTCTATAATTTTAAAATTTTATACCTAAATCTGCTTCGATTTCCTGGATTATTCCTAAACCGCTTAAAATGCACAATTTTTACTCCTCCCATCAGAATCAAATTCAAAAGCATGAAAAAGGTTTGAATCTGAAAAACAAAAACAAAAATGAAGAAATGTGGTGATGATTTGAAAGGAAAAGGGGAAGTCACATCCATTTGTTTCTTCAGTGAATGCAAAGGTGGGTCTGGGATTCCTTAATTTCGTCGAGATTGGATAAGAGAGATCTACGGCCAGGCTTTGGCCAGGTGTCGAGAACATAAAATTAAAATCACAACCTTGGGAATTTCAAAAGAAATAATGGCAGGTGAAAATCCATGAAAATTGAGGATACATCAGGGCTCTGTATATTTTCACAATTATAGAAATGGCAGACTAGAGCTGAATTAGGGCTAATATCTGACACGTTTGGGTTTTTTTTTCTTTTTGTTGCTATTTTCTAGTGCTTTAATTTCTTCACTGCCTTTGGTAACAGGTTAAGTTTTCTAAGGCCGGGCTGAATCCACTAATTCGTAGCTTAATTTAAAAGTTGTATTTTGATTTGGACACTTTCGGGCTCACTGAAAACCAAACAAATGGTATAGGTGTTTTTTCTTGTTCGGATTCTATTTCAATGAAAATTTGATGAGCTAAATGAATGCGGAATAAATTTTGATCCAAGTAGTTGGTAGAGTAGATTTTTTTAGAAATTAGTTTAGGTTCAACCAAAGTAATTAATGTCATCTCTATTGAGCTATACTTGGGGTCATTTAGATGGAAAAAGTCAAACCGAGCATAGCTGAACGGGTAAATTCGAAGATAAAGAAGAGGGTTGGAGAGGGAATAAAAAGGAAGAGGCAGATAAGGAAATGAGGACAAAAATGAAGGTCATTTTCTTGAGAGCAGAAAAAAAGAATCCCTTCTTCTGACGTAATCAAAGATTCTCTGATATATGTTGAAGAAGAGAAGACCACTTCAAAAGTTTCAAACACCCACATAACAAATTAAATGAGGAATACAAACCCTAAAAATTTCTCTTTCTTTTTGGCTGACTCTCTGCACATTTGTTCAAATATGGTTTATTTAAGGCCTCTCTCTTTTAAACTTACTACAAAAACTAACCCTAAAAATCCCATCTTTTCTGTACCCAAAAAAGAAAAAAAAAAAAAAAACTTTCTAAATTGTACACTGCAATGAATTGTCTATGTCTAGTAGATTGGGATCTGTGGGATGTGAGAATAGGCTTCATGGATGCGGCTATCAAATGAGAGAAATAATAACACAAACCAATTTTTAGTAAGTTTAGCTCCCGAATTCATAATCAGACCGTTTGATAACCATTTTCTTTTTATAAATACTATTTTCACTTATATTTGTTTCTTTGTTTTGTTGTTTTCTTTTTTAACACATATTTGATTAGGTCGAGAATGTAGTTCTTCCTACGTTAAAGAAATTGTGAGAAAACAAGTATAATTTTTAAAAATAAAAACAAAATGGTTGTTACTCAGAGGCTCACTTTTTATAATCCTATGCTTAGTTTGTAATATTAAAAAAAAATTGGTTTAGAGATATCAAGGCTAGTTTCGTAATGTTTTCTGTTTCTTTTTCTGTTTTTTTAGTTTTTAATAAGAATAATGAATTTCATGGCCTTAACATCCCTGAATTCAAATCAATAAAATATATATATATATATATATATATATATATATATATATTTTTTATGTTTTGGAACAAATCGAAAATGAGAATTAGAAGGAATAATTTTTGTTTTGGTTATTTCCAAAATTTTTATACTTAAACTTAATTGCAAAATGCTTAGACTTGTTAAGAAAATTGGAAATAAGAAAGTTAGCAAACGAGCCCTTAATTTCTTAACTTGATTATGATACGTCATGAAATTCACATGTATTAAACAAATTCAACTTGTTAAATCTCTCATATTACACAAATCTACATCTCCTTAATTGTTATCAAATAAACACCCTCTTTTTTAAAAAAAAATCAAATAAATATACAAAGAAAAGAAAATTCATGATATCTCCTTCTCCTTAATTAGTTATTTCTCTTCTAAATCCTCAAAAATCCTTAAAAACTCAATCCAATTATTCACACCAGATCCCCAAAACCCATCAACCCATCAACCCATAACCCCAAATAACACGATCATCAAACCCTAATCTTTGAACAATCAAGATCCATTTCAAGAAACCCAACAAAAATTCAAAACAAAAAGAGAAAAAAGAAAAAAGAAAGCACCTGTTATTGGCATATTCATAGAGGCGACCACGGCTGGAGAAGACCACAAGAGCAACCTCAGCATCACACAGAACAGAGAGCTCATAAGCCTTCTTGAGCAGCCCATTTCGCCGCTTACAGAAAGTTACTTGCCGATTCGTTGTGTTCTCTATTCTCTTTATTTCGATCTTCCCTCGCCCACTTCTTCGCTGCTGCTCCACCTGCCTCTCATCTGGGTACGCCATTTGATCCCTGAAATCACAACAAAGATCAAAACTTTGTCAAGAAACAGGCACTTTCTTGAATTGGGATTCCGTAATTTTGTGTTTTTCATCAAGTTTTTTTTGTTGATCGCAGACCTGATAGAGAGAGAGAGAGAGAGAGAGATATTTTTGGGGTTATTTGTCTTTTCTCAGTATTCTGAAAGAACTCAAAGAGAGAGGTACAGAGAAATTGGTAGGGGAGATGGGCCAAAAGAGGAGATGGAGTTTGTGTTGTGGGGTATTTTATTTTATAATTTTTGAGAATGAAGCCTTTATTCCATTAGAGAGGGGCCTCAGAAAATGCTTTTATCGGTACTTTTTTCCTACCTATTTACAGCTCCAAAATGTTGACATATGAGTATATATGACATACTTGTTCTTCATTTTTTTTTTAACGATTTTTTGGAATTGTTAAGTAACGATAAGTACTTTAATTTATATATATGTTATTGTGTATGATCTTGATTTTGTTGTTTTTGGGTTAGTGACGTTATGCAGTGAAATGTTGAGTGTCCAATCCCCATGTTGTTAGGCCCTTTTGAACAATTTTTTAGTTATTGTTTGGATGATTAAATATTTTATAAGTGGGTCTACCAATTTAAAGCTCAATTAATTATACCTCAAATTAAGTGAGGTTAATTAAATGCTTATTATGACCTTTTGTGAACATTTTTAAATTAAGATTCAATTTCTCAATTAAAAAATATTGAAAACATGAATTTATTTCTTTTCCYCAACCAAACACATCTTAAATTTCTAATAATTATATGAAGAGATTACAAATAAATCCCCAACTATTTTTGTTAGAATATTTCTTTTTAAATTTTCAATAATAATGTTTTGTTCTTTTTTTTTTCTTAATCTTGAAAAATGAATTATGTTCAGTTTGATAATTATTTTGTTTTTGTTTTCTATTTTTGAAAATTAAAGTTATAACTACTACTTCACCGATGTACGACAATAAGTATTTTTTTGTCATGTTATCAACCTTTTAAAAACATTTTTAAAATTCAAGCCAAATCTTGAAGAAAAAATAATTTTTGGAGAGTAGTTTTTGTTTTCAAAATTTAACTAAAAGAAATTTAAAAATGTTCTTAAAAGATGTAAAAATATATTTAAAAATGGTGGGAAAATAAGTATAATTTTTTAAAATAAAAAATAAAATTTGTATTGGCCTGAAACGTAATCTGCAAAATTATGTACTATATTTCCATGAATTCTCACCACCTCATGCATGTGGGAATGTGACAGAGATACGTCTCCTTCTCAATAATATTATTGAATCATTGATTTTATTTATTTATTATATATTTTTTTTTTTTGGTTGAGAATCTCGCTGAAATCTAAATTTGACCCACGAGCCTTTTAATTCACAAAATTTATAGTGGGTAACATTTTTTATTGAAAAATATGCTTTTTTTTCCATTATTTTCCGATCAACTTAAACCATAATTAGATGACTTTTGCCGGTATGAGGTTGTGCTGCTTTTTGTATTAAAAAAAATTACGGCACTTTCTATTTCTTGTTTTTTTTTTCTCGTTCATGTATTTTAATTTTTGTTTATTATTTTTTAATAAATAAAAACGAAAATTTGTTTCTTGTTATTATTATTATTATTATTATTTTCTTTTTTTCAGGAAAAAGAAAATATAATCTTTTTTATTTCTTGTTTTTTAAAATTTTAAATTAAAGGAAACTTTTAAATGAAAATTAATTATTTAAATTAAATATTAAAAAAATTTATCTTATATTTACTTTTTAATATTTATTATACATTATATAAGTCAAGAATGATAAATTCATATTTTTATTTATGTTTAAAAAAAACTAGAAACAGGAGTAAAAAACAATCAACTCTATTTTGTTGTTTCTAAAATTTCTACGTTTTTTAAAAATGGAAATCGAGAAACAAAAATAGTCATTAAATATTTATATTTTTCAAAAACTAGATACGAGAAACAAGAAATAAGAAACATAGCGCTCACTTAATAACATTTATGTTTTTTCGTTTCTGTTCCCCCATATAAAGAAAAATAGAATTGCACGGCTCCAACACCCGTAAATTCAAAGATTATCAACCAAAGTTTATATTTACGTTTTGTAACAAATTAGAAACATAGACAAGAAACAAGAAACTTGTTTTGATTATCCTAAGACATCCATACAATTTTGAGAATATTTTCAAAAAAAATAAGAAACAAGAAACACAATTAGTTGCAAAATGCTCAACTTTTTAAATAAAATTGAAAATTAAAAATAAGAAATAGAAACATTACCAAATGAGCCTTAACTTATCAAAATATTCGACGTGTGAAGTGTAATGGTTAGGTTAACTATTTGTTAATAAAGTAATTTGGGGAACCAAATGTTTGATTAGGGCAGAGGGAAGAATTAGGGGTTGAATTGAAGTGGTCCAACCTTAGTTTCACAAGAATAGATGAAGCCAAATCAATAATATGAATCACCAAAAAATAAATCACAACCAACTTGCTAAGCTCACAAAGGNTAATTAATTTTTGGTGGATTTTCAAAAATGGCTCAAGAAACAAAGGTGTGTGGGAGAGCTAATGGATTAATGGCCCACATTGAGGATAAACTTAAAATGACAAAACAGCATATTTTGCTACAAAATTAAAAATATCCAAACTTGGAAATAAAATTTATTTTTCTTTTTGGCAAAGAAAAATAATTATACTTTTATGAAACTGTTTTGTGATATTTGAAAGGACGGCATCCCCACAAGTAATGATATGTTATTCAGAGATAGAACCCCATATCCCTTTCTTGTTTACAACTCGCATCAAATATTTCAATTGAAAATTCATGATTTTAGCTATATTCTTTTCTTTCTATCCTGTCTAATCTTTCTTTTTCTTTTTTTTCTAAAGAAAGAAAGAAAGAAAAGTAATTAAACGTACTTAAAGCATTATAATTAATCCTTCAAGTTTACATAACTAATCATTTGTCTTTATTCTAATTTTTCCAAAATAAAAAGAAAAATATTTAAAATATTATATTTTAGTCATTAAACATACTTAAAAGCATTATAGTTAGTTCTTGAAGTTTACATAACTGATCTTTTGTCTTGTGTTAAAAGAAAAAATCTAAGTAACTATTTGTCTTTATTACTAATGTCTTTTATACATTATACCACAAGTATTTAGCGAACATGAATTTAACTCATTAGTTAAAGCATCATATTTCATCCTTAAAGATTGGCAGTTCAATCTTCAATCCCAAAATTTATATTAAGAAAAAAAAATATTTACTTGAAAAAAATGTATTTGCATCAAAAAAATCAACTAAGTAGTTGAAGTCACGTAGTCACAAATTACAAAACAATTTTAAAAAGTTGTTAAATAGTTAATAAGAAAAAAAATTAATGACTAGATTAATATTTTAATGCAAATTTTAGCCATTGAAACATGATGTTGAAAATATATATATATATATAATTGTTCGACTAAGATATAATAAGATATAATATTTGAAGTTTAAGTCCCATTTACTAATGTTTTTGTTTCTTGTTTTTCTCATTTCTTTTGAGAAACATAAGCATTTGGTAATTATTTTTATTTCTCGTTTCTTATTTTTTAAGAAACATTTCTATAATTGCATAAAAATTTTGAAAACAACAAAATTAGGTTTTTTCTTGTTCTTCTTTCTAATTTTTTTCAAAATGTAAATAAAAAGTATCATTTTATCAATGACTTATAAAATATAAAATAAATATTAAAAAGTAAATATAATATAAAAGTTTTGAATACTCAATTTAAAATTTTCATATAAAAAATGTTACTTTTTAAATTTAAAAATTTTAGGAAACAAGAAACTATAAATGTTTATTTATTTTTTAAAGAAAAAAAAACATAACCAACGCAGTTTCATTTTTATTATTAAAAAAATAAGAAACAAAAACATTATCGAGTGAATTCACCGAAATAAAACCTGAAAATGGAAATTGAAACCAAAATATATCTGCATGAATATACTATATTACTATATATTTTTAAAATAATAATAATAACAACAACAACATCATGGGCCTTCTCAAAAAAAACAAAAACAAAGGAACTTATGAGCTCCCCTGGAGTGCTATTTTATATTACATTAGAATGTGTTGTTTTCTGCAATGGAAATTTCCTCAGCAGCCCCATTGAAATATATATGTATCATTTTCCATAATAATACACCTACGCATCAAAATAATTCAATGAATCAATGTCACTCACTAAAATAATTTCACCACTTTTTTATGACCATATACAATATTTGATATATTTCCTCCATTTTGTATTGTCCAACTTGAGCTAAGATGGGTTTTATTTTATCATACGCTGAAATTAAACATATAGATAGATATGTAGTGCAGTTACCTTAATGAACCTGTCTGCATATCCAACATAAAGTTTGTCTTGCCAACACAGTAATGCTGTTACTGTAGAATTTGAATGGATGGATCCAAGATGCCTACAATCAATCTCGAACTCGTCGCCCGATAACTCCTACGAATCAATATCTTGGTTAGGTTTGAATACTATTTTGGTCCCTATACTTTTGACATTGGTTCGTTTTAGTCCCTGTATTATCAATTTTTGTACATTTTAGTTTTTGTACTTTCAAGACGTCTGTTTTGATTCATGTACTTTTCAAGAGTGACCAATTTGGTCTCTATTTGCAAAATTTTAACACAAATTTTATATATAATGAAAATCGTTTAATACAAATTATGGCTACATTTCAAGAAATTTGGTGAGTGAAGAGTTCTGCTATAATATATTAGGATAGAAAAAATGAGATAAAAATAAAAATGAAAAGACCAAAATATCACTTTTTAAAAGTAGAAGGACTAAAATAGATGTTTTGAAAGTACATGAACCAAACCAAACTTGAGGCAGAACTATCTCAAATCATAATTTTGAACATACAGAAGTATTTGTATCAATTTCATCAAGAATCAGTGAATGGTGATGACTGGATGGCAGATTCATTAAAAGATTGAGATCCCATTTCAAAGCTTCTAAAAGTTCTAAGATGATAGTCAAATTCATCGGTTCAAGAGTATTTCAATATCGAGTTCTCGATACGTACCTGTACATTTATAGCTTTATCTCGACCCCCCGTGACAAGTTGCTTCCCCTGCATACTGGTGGCGAAAATGGCACCATCATGCAACTTCATGGTTTTCTTGAATACATCATTCCTCCAAACCTTAACAAAATGATAGGTTTAGTTCTTCCTCTTGAAGTTAAGATCAGAAGTAAAGGGCCAAGTAATTGATCAGAGCTCTTCTAGCAACTAAGTGTAACAGTTTATGGCAATCAATACGTTCAAAATGTTTCTCAATATCTTTTCACTGACAATTCAAATGATCTGTGGTTTCATGTACAAAAGTGAAATGTTTTAGAATCAGAATGATCAAATGATGTAAATGTATTAGCTGTTTTTGCTATCTTTTCAGAAAGTGAAGTAAATCTTATGTAGCTGAATCAGTGTTTGAAGAATTTGAAACCTTTATGGATCCATTTTCATGAGTTGCAACAAGCATGTCCATGTTAGCAGCAAGACATAGGACAGAACCCAAACTTCCAGACGAATCTTCTCCCAGTACGGTCAATAGACTGCGGTCGGCAAGGCTCCATAATCGGACAGTTCCATCCCAACTGCCACTGTACAGAATACCATTACATGCTAGAAGAGCAGAAACTACCGATTTATGACCGTTCATAGAGCCTGATAAAGTGCCATCCTAAACCGGGAAACTTTCAAATTTCAGTCGAACCGATTCAATGTGGACAACTATACTCAAAAGAGAATAAAAAGCAGAAACAAGAACGTTACCAAACAGGCTTTTACATAATCCTTATACTTGAAAGAAAGTAATTACCTTCAATGACCACGCTTTAATAGTTTTATCACCTCCACCGGTATAAAGGTACCCATTTTCCGAATAGGTCAAGGCATGAATGCCATCATAGCGCCAATCCTTCTCCTCGTACCATTTCTTTAGTGGATCTTGCTTCAAAGGAAGAGCAATGCTCCAGACGTATATACCACCTCCAATATCAGCACTTACACATAATGGTTGTTCTTCGGCTACATACACCAGATCCGTTACTCGATGCTCGTGACCGGTAAATGTGTGTAGATGAGAGAAGTCCTACATAAAATGTGCACATCGTCAATGGCATAGACCAAAGGAACAGCTTAACAATATCCAGAAACAGGTTCAAATAGATGATCAGATATAAATAGAATATAAGAATGAATATATCATATCCATTCAATTATCAGGATGAAAATCAATAAAACGCCTACTTGCAAAGACCATGCTTGGACAGTCTTATCATATGACGAGCTAAACAGATATTCCCCTACAAAAGAAGAGAAAAGATGCATCTTAAAAAATGCAATAAAGTTAGCAGAACCAGAACATAGTGAAGGTCTTGCACAGGATTCATAATTTTGGATGTTATCAAAAACTTTCTATGAAGAAAGAATTTCCATAGTTGCATTTTTTCAGTAACAGACACCAACAGAAAAAGTTCTCACCAGCTGAGAAATTTTTTTGGAGTTTTTCGCCATCAAACATAAAGTCGCCAAGAAAACATTGAACTTTTAAACGTATAACACAGCATGCTGTTCATGGATATGGCTTGAGAAACAAAAATAAGATAAAAAATAGTGAAAACTCCATTGTTCATACCACCGACTACAAAACCGGTAACACAATCACGATGGCCTAGCATATCTTTTGATTTCACCATTCCAACAGATAGCCCATCAACAAAATCTTTTATAATTTTCTCCTCCCCTGTTTGACATGTATCATCTCTTTGAGTTTCGATCAGTTCGTCAGGAAGTTGAATGAGGTCCCCCAGAACCAAGCAATGAGCAGCATCATATTCATTAATTGCAAGTTTCAAACTGGCCAAAGCATCCAACTCAGGACTAACAATCAATACCCTAAAGCATCTCAACAATTCAACGACCCATGGACGGTTCTCGGGATCAAAATTTAAAGACTCGCAGAGTGCCTGTCTCAACGATGCATACTCCGAACCCAACTTCATCACCAAACATGAATTAACTTTCTCCATCCAACTCCCATAAAAGGCAGAGCAATCACAATCAGAATGAACTTCATCGAGAGTCCCCAGTGTCTCTATAAGGCAATCCTTTCCAAGAAGAAGACTCAGCAAAACAAAAACTAAGGACCAAATATCGCACTTGTTCCCGACCGAACATAGAGTCGTGCCGCATTCCAGCACAACGCCTTCTTTATGCAGTAATTTGAGTAACACCTCTGGGCTGACAAAAGCCTCTTTCTTGATCAGATTACTAATAAGAATTCCCAATTCCTTAAGGTCAATTTTTGATTTGGTAGAAACAGTTCCCACCATTGTCTCCCTCACAGTACTTCCCATCACCAAAACCTCATTTAGATCAACACAAATGCTGCCAAATTCATCAGCACTAAAACATGATAGACCCAGAAAGCCTATACTTAACCCCAGAGAATGCATAGCCATAATTGCTTCACATAACTCAATGGCAATCATGGCAAAACCGCGCATCTCATCGTTGTTCAAGCCAACCTTATTTCTGATATCAAGTTTCTTTATCCAATTATTGATCCTCTCCGTTAAGTTTTCTTTTCCTCTTCCACAAACCAAGTATAGAAACCCATCCTCCAAATTACCCCACAACCCATAAGTTCTACACACTCTTCCACCATTCATTATGCCAGCTTCCAAAATCAAAACCAGTTCATTCCTCTCCCCATCCTTCAACTCACTCAAGCATTTCAAAACCATTGAAGTATAACTAAACTTAAGCACAGCATCACTATTCAGACAAGGCAACGAAACGACTCGAACAAGACTTACAGTCCGGTCTTCTCTAACCCTAATCGGGGAAGAAGAACCCGAGTCCGAAACGTGACAAACTCTTCCCAGCAACAACTTCTCGATTTCGTCATCACCATATCTCCGCTCGATCGAAACGGAGCCGTGCGGCAGGATCCAGCGCCTCCAAGTTTTGTAGAATTCATCGGACCAAAGCTGAGGAAACAACCCGTAGTTTTGATCGAGGGGTCGTTTGTCAGTTTTTCTGGAAATTTCGACATCGGCGCTTTGCTGGGGGCACAGTCTGAGGAGTTCGATGTTTTTGGGGAGCGCCGAGGCGCCTTGAGCGGGGAATTTCACGAGTACGGTACAAGCGGGACACCGGATTGTTTCGGGATAGCGCTGAGGCAGATTCTCGAGGCAGGCTCCGCAGGCCGAGTGGCCGCAAGCGAGAACACGAGGAACTGTGCAATCGCCGTCGTACGTTTGAAGGCAAACCGGGCACTCGGGGAACTCCATAAACCATTCGCCGCCAAAATTCTTCAGGTCGTGAAGATGAAAAGAGAAGAAAATGGCCGAACGCGTTGAAATTGGAGATTAAATCGAAAATTTTTAATCCTTCCGCCCAATTCCCAAATGGCCCCTCAGATCGTGCGAATTGAAAATAGACGAGAAAGAGAGAACTCTCCGTTCCAGATTTCTAAAATTTTCTAATTCGGTATTGTAATCTGCAAATGGAATCAATTTAATGTACAAACAAATTGTATGTATTAGTAAGAATGTAGCAATTTACAGTATAAACTCTCGACCCAGAAACTTGAGAGGGAGAGAGAGCTGTAGACAATTTGCAGTAGAATTGAATGTGTAAAAGGGATTGCACTACAACAAACATGTTCTTCTGGTTTGCAAACAAATCTGTAAAACTAAGAGAAAATTTTTACAACAACATGACGGGAAAACTTTCCAAGTTGGTTCATATGCTGCTTGCAGATCGCGATGAAAGGCTGCGGCTGCTTGATATATGATCTCTCCTCATCTTGGCCTCTACATTCTGGAAGCATCTCAACGTTGGGAGCTACAACACAAATTTGTTTAAATGGAAGACAAAGTTATCATTCAATTCAAATACAGAACAAAATCTCATTGGTTGATCACTGCTTGAAAATGGGAGAAGAAACAGAGACACAAAAAGAGAGAGAGAGAGAGGAACCTTCCAACGCCTTCTGTGGCTGAGACCGTGATGAATGGTTTCCAGCCTTGTGATTATCTGTCTAAAATTTGGTCTTTTTGATGGCTTCTCATTCCAGCAATCTTCAATCAACCTGAACACAGATGCCATTAGTACAATATCAGAGCGAGGATGAGATTTGGAGAGAAGAAGGAAGAAACTCTGCTTACTCTTTAATTCCATGGGCGTAGCATTTTGCTGGAGCTTTGAAAGGTGGGCGTACTCCGGCTGCATACTCTTTAGGAATTGCATTTTCTTTCTTGGTTGAAAATGGCGGTTGCCCTTCAATCATCTGTATTGTTATAGCGCATCATTAGTATCAAAGTCGAGTGAATGCACTCACAAGTGGGTATCAAAATAAATGGCCAACGCAAACCTCTTGTAGAATTAAGGCAAAGGAGAAGACATCCACTTTGGTGTCGTATCCATTGTTTTTGAAAACTTCTGGAGCGACATATCGGCCTATAATCACAAAATAACTTTATTAGAATTTATTCAGCGAAAGTAAGTTTATAGATTATGCAGAGGAAAATCTCACAAGAAGTGTCTTGACAAGTTAGAGGCTTGTCCTCCTTGACTGTGAGCAGCTTGCTAACTCCAAAGTCTGCAACTTTCAGGCTCCCAGAGTCATCTCGCAATATATTTCTAGGATCACACAAAAAGAGAGAAACCAACTTTAGGAATTTCCAAGAAATTAGAGGAGTTGATGCAGAAAGTGTCAAGTGGAAGCAACTCTTACGATGGTTCGAGATCACGGTGGATGATTGGCGCGGGTTTGTTCTCGTGCAAATAGTTCATTCCCCTGAACAGAGAGTTTTGGCAAACAATGACATAGTGAGTGGCCATTTCCACGCTCAAAAAGGAAACAGAACAAGCAATAGCAGATAAACAATGTATAATGAAATGCACCAAACAGAGAGAGTTGAAAAGTTGAAAACCTTGCAATATCAAGGGCAAATTTCACAGCTACAATTGGTTTTAATGCTCCTTTTCTCTGCAAGAATTGACAAAGATCTCCCTGCAGCCCAAAATGACAATAAAAATCAGCGGAAATGGACAGTGGGTTCCATCTAAAGTTTCTCCTTTTTAGACCAAATAAAATGGAACCTTTGGCAAATATTCAGTAACAATCATCATCGGACTACTTTGAGTCACGGCACCAAGAAACTGAACAACATTAGGATGGCGAATCTTCTGAAGCAGTGCGAGTTCATCTCTAAAAGCGTTCCTGGAAAAGAAAAATAAAAAGTTATGGCTGAGAAATGTTCAAGAGATGAATAATGAATTCAATTGAGAGATATTCTTTATAGAACTTACACTTTATCCTCATCTGAAATCACATCCTCCGGAAGCTCTTTTACTGCAACTTGAATTCCACGCCATGATGCTAGATGGAAGGTTCCCTGGAATGAATTTTAGATTAAGAACTGTTAAACCAGCTGTCACATGAAAAATAAGAGAGCCAAAGAAGAAGAAAAAGAAGAAGAGGGACCTTGGTCAAGTTGACACTGTTAGTAAAGTCAAATTCTTTAGGATTAATTTCATATTCTGGGACCTCACGAGCATGCTTCACGTGCATTGGAGCCATCTGAATTTCCAGAATTATGAACAAAGCCGTGATTAATGAACATAAGACAGAGATTTACAGAAGCCAGAAACAACAATCTGAAAACACTGTACCAGATGTTTTGCGCCGCCTTTTTCCAACAATTTGATAACTGCGTGGTTCTTGTAGAATATAGCATCTGCAAGAGGCTGTTATTCCAAACTTGGATTATTCCTCAGACGTTAGTCCACACAAAAAGTAATTGAGAAATTATGTATGTTAAGATTTCGTCACAGAGACGGTGAAAACCGAAAGGATTTTAATTTAACATTAATACATTCACTAACTAACCAAANTTTCTTTTGTTTAATATAGGATAGGCATAGATTAATACATCAATGCGAAAAGTGGGTTGCTACTTGCTTCAATCATATTTTATACAGAATAACAATAATCTTATAGACGTTCCTAGTACGAATCATATCAAATATCACATAATTATAACTCATTTCATAATGTTTTTGTGTCTGATTTTTTTTTCACATTTTCTCAATTTTACAAAACATAAACATTTGATATATGTCTCTGTTTATCATTTTTCATTTTTAAGAAACTTTTCTCAAAATTTGTGTATTTTCTTGTTTCTAGTTCTTTCTTTCCAATTTTTAACAATAAAAATATTATTTTATCATTGTGCATAATAAAAATAAAAAAATTAATACAACATGAAAAAATTTTAGTATTTAATTTCAAATTTTAATTTCTATATAAAACTTATATATATAGTCTAATAATAAAGAGATATTTTGCTCAAGTTGGATCTATATAAATTAAGGTTAAGAAATTTGAGTGGAAATCCATGTTAATATCTCCTAATTAACAAAATGGCATATACATTTGTGGGTATTTTTATGAGGCGATATATGTTTCTTTTCAAATGTAGGATAAAGTTTAAAACTCTATAAAAATAACCCAAATGAAAGTCAAAATAATCTAAAAAGAAAAGTCAAAACGCATGTTTTTTTTTATTACGTCAAAACGCATGTTATATATGAGAAAATAAAAATAAAAATACATATTAAAGTGCCAAAAGATATGTCAGAGGAAAAATTATGATATTTATTCCTGAATGTTTTAAATTGTCATTTTCTAAAATTAGAGAAAGATAATTCCGAGTTCCACCTCACCAAAAGATATATGTGGAAATCTCAGAGAAAAAGAAAAAAAAAAGATAGATGTGGAAAAAGAATTATAATCATTATTTGAATTTTTATAAAATGGAATATTTCGCTTCTACAACTGTCTAGGCCGAATTTCCACGAGGGGTGTCCGGGCCCACCGAGTTCCATTACCCAAAGTCTTCGGTTTCGTAAGTTTTATTTATTTATTTAAATATATATGTAATAATGACAAGACAACTTCTTTGTTTCTGCAATTATTTTACTTTCTGATAATTTTATTTCAACAAAATGTATTACTACCTTAACTGATATTTAATTTTTCTTTTTTAGTAAAAGTTATACATAATAATTATTTAATTTTCCTCAACATAAACTGTTAAAATAATTCATCTCAACCTTAATTGATATATATTTTTAATCAATCGATGATCTTCTATTTTTCGATGTTTGTACTCGATTTTATTTGTAGAACTAAAACATGAAAATCACAAGAAATAGCTGCCGGTAATTCTTTAATTAAATATGATATTTCATGGTTGACCTCTTGCAATGCAGATATTTTTAGATATTTTCTATTGGTCATTTTGGATCAAAGCAATTTGCTTTCAAAAACAGTTTCCTTGCGAGGAAACCAAAAATTAAAACAGTTTTTTTTTTCAATAAACTGAAAAAAATAAAAATAAAAAATGAAAGTAAATGCAGCGAGGAAATGAAATGCAGAGCAGCAAATTACCGTACTACCCCAGCGATCTTTGGGGTCGATCTCAGCGCCTCGCCGGAGCAACAAATCGACGATATCCGAGTAGCCCTGGCAAGCCGCGACGTGCAGCGCCGTCCGATTATCAATATCGCGAAAATTTACGTCTATTCCAGAATCCAGAAGCTCCCGAATCCCTTCCAAATCGCCTTCATTCGCCAAATACATCAACCTCACCCTTGGATCGATCTCGTCCCCGTCTTCCGCCGTCGCCGACTCCTCCGGCTGCCGGTCCGGCGCCATCGACGACTGCTTCCCCAGCAGAAACCTCACCTTGTTGTTATTCGTTTCCATTTCCAACATACTCCAAAACCCCCTCTCCTTAAACCCTAGCAATATAACAACCACTGACGACGCTCCTCTGTTTTCCGATGAATTTCCGGCTACAGTTGCAATAGGAAAGAAAGACTTCGCTCCACTAAATTGGGAAATATAGTTCGGCAATTACAATTTCCAGCTAGATTTCAGAGATTCAGATGAAGAAAAAACCCGAGAATTGAGGAAATTTTGTGAGAAAAAATGAGAACTCGTTTCAGCAGCTTTGCGGCAGTTCCGATTTCCCTTTTATAGCGATTTCGGGGTCCAAAGCGCGTGTGGAGGAAGATATCGTCGGTGTGGCGCACGAAAAGAGGATGGGGCTAACTTGCACCACCAATTAACGTCGTCGTTTACACGTGACGGACTCTGTTTCCAACTGTGACGGTGACGGCTGGGTGACGACGAACTTGTCCTTTTTCGCGGATGGGTATTTAATTACTCTGGAACGGATTTAATTTATAAACGTGAATGGAATCTGGACCGTTCATTTGGTGGAATTTCAATTTTATTAAAGGCTTGGATCTGGTGAGGACGAGATTACCGATGGAACAATTTGGATTGTTTGATGAATACGACGTCGTCTGAGGATCAATGCCCTACAAGAAAGCAGCCTGATTGTGATGTATATTACAAGGGCCCCAAAACAATATTGCATAACCCAAACATTCCAAAACTAGGATAGAAAAATGTGCTAAATATAATTTAATAAATGAAGTATTTTATTGTATTAATGTTGATATAATATGCTTCATACAAAATCTTTCTCGATCTCATTTCTATGACTAAATCTATGAGACTATGAATACAAACTCAAACGTCACAAAAAAAAAAAAGTCTGACTACTCAACTAGTAAATTGATACTAGTTAAATTACAAGTTGAGACTATAGGCTTTCAATCTTTGACTAGTTCCACATTTTAAAAAAGTTCATAGACTCAGTGGATATCAATTTTGTGTCAATTGGTCCAAAAAAAATTTTAAAATTTTAATAAGTTAGAAATATGCTGAACACAGAATTAAAAGTTCATACACTAAACTTATAATTTAACATTGATATAAGTATAATCAAAACGAACATAGTTTAGCAGTAATTGACATATTATATCTTCAATCAATAAGTTGCGAGTTCGAATCCCCGCCCCCACATATTGTACTAAAAACAACAATTGATACAAGTATCAATCTCTTTCCTCCGAACTTTCCTTATTTGCGAGTCAATTGAAAATTTCTCTCCATTTGATTTTAAAGAGTCAACCATGTTGAAAAAAATATGGTGTTTATCTCTAATGAATCAGAATTTAAGTTTTAATATATTAGTAATGCAAATTGAGTTTTGATTATTATCCAATTGAGACAGAGAGGATGAATGGTGAGCAAAGGGATAAGGTTTTGAATAATGGGGAATGAATTTGGGTAGGTTTGTAATTTAAATTTAAAAAGTAAAGGGGTGTATGACATTGACTATGTCATTTGGGGGAAATTTGTTTTGTAATCATTCGCAACTTGTGAAGGGTTAGATGGGGAATTCACATGATTTTTGGCCGCCTTTTATCCATACAATGTTTCAAAACCATTCACGTAGCCAAATTCATCTTAGTAATTGGAATTACATCCCTTTTTTTTTGGGTCCATTTTATATCTGTAAAAAAATATATCTATTTTTCCTTCTTTTAGAAAGTTTAGATATTATTGTTCTTGAAATTATATTAGTCAAATCATAATCTAAAACTCGTTGAAATTTTAGAGTTCTTTAAATACTTTATTCGAGTAAAGAAGATGTGTTTAGCTTGAAACTTAATATTTTTTGAAGTCAACATTTTCTGGCATATTCTCACAGTAAGAAACCGTTTATTCCGGATCTTAAATAAAACAAAATCCAAAAGATTAGAATTATTCAAAGCTAAAGAGTTTATAAATTTCCCCCCTTTTTTTCCTTCACATGTATGCTTACTTTTTCAAAGCAAATACAAAATTTATGAACATATATCGCACGTCTTCACGCAGTTCACATTTTAAATCGTGAGTTGTTTTTTTTTTTAAACAAAAACGGACCGACAATATATACCTTTTTTATATTAAGAAAACCCAGAAAACATTTAAAATTAGTAAATAAAAAATAACATACTTTACCTTTTTAAAAAATATATATATAATAAAAAATATTACAATTTTCCCATTCACTAATATATATACGGTCACATGCTTCAAAAAATTATTAAAAAAAAAGGTTGCATACAAATATTTGGGTGATATATTTTAAGTCTTCAACTTCGATAATATGTGTTACCATCTTATTTTTAATTATTGAGGACGACTAAATTCGAGGGATTTATCATTTCTACCTTTTTGTGATTATTGTTTTAACTAAAAAAATCTAATAAGATTTTAAAAAACACTTGAAGATCCTGTTTCACTACAAAAACAAGTTAGCATTTCGAAATTTTTCGAGAGTAAAATTACAAATTAAAACGATTACGTACTTCCTTTCATTTTCTGGATATTTATTTAAGAGTTAGAGTAATGTACTCAACTAAATAATTAATTACCTTCTTTTTCTTTACTTTAGATGTGAGATATGAGATACGCTATGAAACAAGACTACAGTTAAAGACAGCCATACTACATAATATCGTTCAAGTTTCAAAAGTTCATTTCCGAACTTTTCAAGGACGGAGGCATACGCAGAGTTRAATCATTAACTTAATAGRCATGCACTGAGTTAAATCGTTCGTTAACTTAATAATGACGTGTGTGTTCCAGTCGAATTCGCCTTCATCACTTATTACTATTATTATTTATAATATAACTCTATATCAAATTAAAGTAATATTATTATTATTATATCTAAGATCTCTGTTGTCAACTTTACAAGACCCAAAACCCTAGTAGACCAGAAGTTGCAACACTGACACCAAGCTATGGCTCGGCTATGGGTTTCTCTAAGATATGTCAATGGCAAGGCCCTTCCCTGGGTGCTTCCTCCAGTAGTCAGCTTCAGAGTCTTCCACCTCTGCCTCCTCCACATCCATTCTCCCCTCCGCTATCTCCGCCGTCGATATCTTATATCTCTCGTCCCTCCGCCCCACTAGTTCCGCCTTCACCTTCCCCGGACTCTCCGCCTGCGGCGACATCATAAGCGCCGGTGCTCCCACCGGCAGCTTATCCCCTATAGTACTCATTTCAGTTTCACTATTATTATTTACTACAAATGGTAATTAATTAATTTACGTGTTTACCCCTATCAAGCTGCCAGGTGCACCAGAACTTGCCGTAGGTTTTGGCCATATCGTCCAACTCGGGCCGGGCTATCGAATCGGGGATCCGTGGGTTAACCCAGAGACCCGATTTGACCTCGTGCGCGTGGGAGTGCCACAGCCTCTGCTCCTCCGCAGACAACGCCTCGAAAATTCGATCCGAAACAATATACTCTACTCCTGCAGCAGTTGCCAGTGCAGTAATTAATTAATTAACAATAATAATTTGATCAATTGTGAAGTAATTAGGAACCATACCGATGAGGCGGCCGTTGGAATCGTCGGAATCGTAGACGGCGGATTGGAGGAAGTCCTGGTTCAGGCGAGAGATGTAGTGGTGCGTCTCCATCTGGCGAGTTAGGTCGTGGGCGTAGAGGGCGAAGGTGCACACGTGCTGGCTCATCCCCTTCATTGGCTTCAGAGACTGCACCATCTGAGCTCCTCTGTCGATCACCGCCTGCATCATCGTCATCGGCTTTCCTGGCGGCTGAGGAGCGTCTTCCTTTGCCGCTACCGCCGCCGGTTGCTTGTCGCTCGACGCCATCTTCTCAAATCTGAACTCAACCACGGATTAATCCAGTTCAGAATCTGAATCTGTCTGCACGGAAAAAAGTGGGATACGATACGGGATTTTTCTTTCTTACTCGGTGCCGACTGCCACGTGGACGCGGATTGGTTGCTGAGCTGGCTTCCTTTGGTGAAATGGAGCCGCTCTCAACGACGCGTGGAATATTAGCAATGTCTCTTGGCTGTTAAATCTAACAACACTTGGTATCCTTTTGCTTAATCATTATCTACATTTTACCATCTTTATTATTATTATTTAAAAAAAAGTTTACAATTAGGGATGTTCACCTAATAAAATCTATATATATCATATATGAGAGAATTAGATTCTAGAAATTAAGCAATTAAACAAAAAATTTCTACGAGAAAAAAATAATTTAAATAACAAAAAAAGAAATGGGAAAAATTCTCTGTGGGAACCCAATTTCCCATAGGATACCTGCGGAGAATCCCCGCGAAATTTCATGGAGATTAAGCGGTGATCCGTCCTTTTCCCACCCATGAACGCATCCCTATTTACAATCTTTATTATATTCTTTCATACTAATCTATTATAATTGATTAGTTTATAATAGAGTCTTTTATCATTTTCATTTTTATTCAAAGATGGTGAATAACTCAGATATCATTTCTTTATTTTAGTTTAATTCAAAGATGGTGAATAACTTAGATATCATTTCTTCATTTTAATTTATATAAGAGTGGGGATAAGAACGTTTGAGAGTAGAAGTTAGAAAAAAAGAGAGAGAGAAAGAGCGATTGAGAGTGAGATAGAAGGAATGATTTTTAAAAAAATAGATTTAAATTTACTTTTCAAAATCACCGATTTAAAATAATTTGAAACTTTATTTTTGACAATCAGGAGAAGTGATTTCGCCAAGATGACTCCCAAACAAATTATGGATATAATATCCAAAGCACTTCTCCATGCAGTCAATTCCACTGTGAAACTCTTCCACTTCTCACGAAAGGAAGCTAATTTCAAAACTGGTTCGAGTCCTCTCTCTGCCACTTCCCCATGGGTTTCAGTTTGTTTTGGAATACCAAACGTTCACCTTCTTCGTTAATTCTTCATCTATATTCCTCCATTGGTCTTCACTTTAAACCATCATGAAACCTATAAATATATATATATATACCATGCATCTCTTCTCTTCACAATCACCGCCTCAATATTTCTCGCACCCGATTTTCAGTCTCAGAATCTGAATTATCATTTCAAAATGGGTGGCCCCAAGCTTTCTGCAAAGAACAAGAGAAGTTTCGTTCCCAATGAACAAGAAGAACACGCCATTGTCCGCGTCGGCTCCCCGCCGAAGCCTCTCACTTCCGTTGCTCCGATCGTTTCTTCCTACAACGACCGAATTCGGCCGCTTATCGATGTCGTCGACAAGCTCCGTCATCTCAACATCATGAAAGAAGGCATTCAGTTGCTGACCATCGTCGTCGTCGGCGACCAATCTTCCGGCAAGTCCAGCGTTCTCGAGTCTCTCGCCGGAATAAGCCTCCCCCGTGGACAGGGGATTTGCACCAGAGTGCCGTTGATAATGAGGCTACAGCATCACTCTGCTCCACAAACAGAGCTTTTCCTGGAATTTAATGGCAAATCGGTGCGCACTGATGAGACCAATGTCTCAGAAGCCATTAATATGGCAACTGAAGAACTCGCAGGCAACGGCAAAGGTAGCACAATATTCAACAATGGCATTAAATTTAAGCCGATAGATTACTGCATACTTAATGATTTATTAATTTTCTTAACAGGAATATCGAACGCCCCATTGACATTGGAAGTGAGAAAGAATGGAGTTCCTGACCTTACGATGGTTGATCTTCCCGGAATCACGAGGGTTCCTGTGCACGGGCAGCCCGAGAACATCTACGATCAGATCAAGGAGATTATAATGGAGTACATTAGGCCGGAGCAGAGCATAATTTTGAATGTTTTATCGGCAACAGTCGATTTCACTACTTGTGAATCGATTAGAATGTCGCAGATGGTCGATAAAACTGGCGACAGGACGCTTGCTGTGGTTACCAAGGCCGATAAAGCTCCTGAAGGTTTGATGGAGAAAGTTACCGCCGATGATGTGAACATCGGACTTGGTTATGTTTGTGTAAGAAATCGAATAGGAGATGAATCATACGAGGAGGCAAGAATGGAGGAGGCTCGATTGTTTGAATCGCATCATTTGCTGTCAAAAATTGACAAATCCATTGTTGGAATTCCAGTTCTCGCTCAGAGATTGGTGCAGATTCAGGCCTCGAGTATTGCGAGGAATTTGCCGGATATTGTGAGGAGTATAAACGAAAAACTCGGTGAGAATTTGTCGGAGATCAAAAAATTGCCGAAGAATCTGAGTTCTGTTGCGGAGGCGATGACGGCTTTTATGCGTATCATTGGATCCGCTAAGGAAACATTGAAGAATATTCTTATTTGAGGGGAATTTGAGGAATATCCAGATGATAAACAAATGCACTGTACTGCTCGAATAGTTGAATTTCTGGATAATTACTCGGGTGATGTACATAGGTTTCCTGCAAATGATTCGAGAAGGGATTTTCTGATGGAGGAGATCAGAATCTTGGAGGAAGCAAAATCAATTGGATTACCCAATTTCCTTCCCCGAACCGCATTTCTAGTAATTCTACAAAGAAAAGTAAAAGCGATTTCTTCTCTCCCCATCGGATTTGTAGAAACCGTCTGGAATTACTTGGAAAACGTTCTTACTTCTGTTCTAACGAAACATTCAGAAAATTACTACCAGCTCCAGCTCTCCACCAAAAGAGCCGGCCATGTCCTCATATCCAAGATGAAGGAGAGATCGATGGAACGAGTTATGGAGTTCGTCCAAATGGAGATGCTCACGGATTATACTTGCAACCCACAGTACATTGAGAAATGGAACAAACTGATTGTGCAGCAAGAATCGTTCATGAAACAGCTAGGGAACGATCAAGAGATGCCCTCGATAATCTCGATAGAAGGATTTGGGGAAGTTCAAGTGGGGGCGCTTAGCCAATACCTGCATCTCGCTCCACAGGCGTTCGATCTGAGAATGAGAATGACAGCGTACTGGAAGATTGTGATAAAACGATTGGTGGATTGTATGGCGCTTCATCTTCAATACAGCATCGATAATCTGATCAACAAAGAACTAGAATCGGAGATCGTGAGGGAACTGTTAGGGCCCGGCGGAGTTGGAATCGAGAAAATGTTGGAGGAATCTCCTGCTCTTGCTGTGAAGAGGGAGAAGCTCAGCCGGAGCATTGGGCGGCTCCGGGAATCGAGGGAGGTGGTGGCCAATATTCTTGATCGGATTGCTACTTTTGGCGGATAGTTGATTATTAGTTCTGTTTGGCAAAATTTTCCCGGAAAATTTCTTGGTTTTTGTGGAGAGCATTTGTTGAGCTTTGTAAACTATATTTTACTTATAATGTATTTTGTTATTTCTAGTAATTTTGTAACCAAACATGTTCTCAATTTGATTGAAAATGATGGGTTTTCCTTTTTAAGTATTTGTTTCTTTTTGGTTTATTTTGATGTTGGGAGGAATTTATTTTGAATGGTTAATTTTGTTTTGAATGAATTGGAATGTAAACAAATGTAACTAATTTTTTAAAGATAAAAGTTACATGATATGAAAATGAATTGACTAATATTAGGCTCTTTAATTTATCTAGAAAAGGAACTAAATAGAAAGCTCTAATTTATTTTATTATTATTATTACTATATATATATATATTTTTTTTTTGACGTCATTATTACGATATTTTGGTGGCAGGATGATCAAAGTTGTCAAATTTATCCATGATTTAATCAGATTAGCATCCTTATCAAATAAAACCAAACTAAAAAGTTGTGAAAAATCATTGAAGATAGCCTAAGAATACTATTCAATGTGGCTACCAAAATGTAACAGTAATCTTCATAACTGTTACAAAAAATAGTAAAATAATTTTTTTTTAGTATGAACTATGATTCAACTATGATAAGTGGCTTTTTATACATTTAATTTAACTATGTAACAGAAAGAGGGAAGAATCAACTTGATTGATTTAAACATATTACAATAACTGTACAAAATCAAATCAAGGATGAAAAAGAATCAAGAAATTTCCCCTTTTTACAACTCATCTGACCACGGCCCGGCCCCGGTGATCGCCTCCGAGATGTCTCATCTCAGGCCCAGCCATGAACAACATTCATACTCAGAAAGTCACAAGGGGCAGAAAGAAGAAAAATGAGCCTACTGATTGATTGAAAGATTATAAACAATGTTATTCAGGACGATGGTATGATGATCTTGGCTCTGGGCTGATTTCACAGAACTCATTTCCAGATGTAGAGGAAGAACCAAATGTTTGCATTGTGGAATGGGTCTGGCTGTCACTCCCGCTTTGGCTATGCTGCGGTTTACGCACATCTCTCATTGCCTTGAACCTCAGATCTTCGGTATAAGTGCTCGGTCCCGGGTTCAGGTCTGGAATCTCCATTCGTCCTTCGAGCATGTTCACCACCTCCGATATCGTAGGCCTTACTGATGCTGAAGCGTTTGTGCAAAGAAGGGCTACCTTTACCATATTTTCTGCTTCTTTCCTGTTGATTTCTGGCCTCAACATCTCATCAACCAGCTCCATGAAGTTTCCACTTTGTTGCAAACAACAGGCCTGCAGCAATAGGAGTTCATTTGTTTCATTTGTTCAGACCAAAAACAGATGCAGTTTTTGAAAGTAAAGGCTCTCACTGAGATTCAGCCTCAATAGAAATGTTAACAATTTTAAGGTCAGACCAGAAAAGAAAGGGACAGGAAGAAGAGCAGTGAATTAGTTTACCCAGTCTAGAATGCAAACACAAGTTTCACTTGGTACAAAATCATTGTTGCTTCTTCCACTAATAACTTCCAAGGCCACAACTCCAAAACTGTAAACATCTGCTTTGTGGGACAGATATCCCCAAAGTGCATATTCTGGGGCCATATATCCTCTGCCACACACAGAGAGAGTCTTGATGAGGTTTAATTCGATATAAAGCATGATTACCATATACGGTTTTATTCCGATGCATATAAGATGTCAGGGTGAGGATTGTTACATACATGGTCCCAGCCACCCTGGTGGTGATGTGGGTCTTCTCCTCGTCGTCATGCTTAGCCAAACCAAAATCAGATATTTTGGGATTCAAGTCACTATCCAATAGCACATTAGTAGCTTTGATGTCTCTGTGAACAATTTTGAGGTTTGATTCCTCGTGGAGATATGCTAAGCCTTTTGCTACACCGATACAGATTTTAAGCCTGGTTGGCCAATCTAGATTAAGCCGAGTGTGATCTGGACCTATGAAACAAAACAACATAGCAAAACGAAACCAAAGGTGACGATAGGAAAGATGAGCCCTAAAATGATCGACAGAAGAAAAGATTAATATCTAGCAAAGTTACCAAACCAACTAGATCAGATGATTATTTTGTATACTTCTATTGAGGGGGTATGAGTATGAGAAATCAAACTAACCGAATAGCGCTCGGGCAAGACTATTGTTTTCCATGTATTCATACACCAACAACAGTTGATCCCCTTCAATACAGCATCCATGAAGCTTGACTAGATTCGGGTGCTGTAAACAAGAGATCATCCCTATCTCATTCAGAAATTCGCGATTTCCCTGCCTTGATTTGGATGAGAGCTGCTTAATTGCTACAAGAGTACCATCAGCCAGTTGACCCTGTAAATCAGCCTTCTATAAGCACTTCTCTTCATCAAATTTAGATGCGAATTTATCCGAAAGATAGGTAAAAATACCTTGAAAACAGGGCCAAAACCGCCTTCTCCAATTTTATTGGAAGAATCAAAAGCATTGGTGGCAGCTTTTATTTGTTTCAAGGTAAAAAGTCCAGTTTGCACCTCTATTACTCCTGCAACATCTGTTCATGGTGGTACAGATGAAATATGGAAACATTTTTAGATGTTAGATGTTCCACAAATTTCCATGAGTTACATTTATGCTATAGCTTTTCCTAAAAATTTTACAGTAAATGAGTATCAAGGTTCATGAAAAATCGAAATTCATAGTAGATAAAAAATGCAACAATGTGACGATGTGCAATCCAAACCCACCTGTAGCACCTTCATTTTGGTTTATTGCTCTAAGAGTGCCTTTCCACCAAATAAAACCAAATATGATGATCATAAGGCAAAATAGTCCACTCGTAACTCCAACCACAATAGATAAAGTTCTTTGTTTCCCACTTCCACTGATTGTACAATAACTAAGATCTGTTAAAAGGATAAAAAACACCCATTATTCTCGAGCAAACATTTCGAGTTCAACAAAAAACTACAATATCTGGTTATGAATGGGCTGATTTGAAAATGAGTGGATAAATATAAGTTCTGAAATGAAACATGAAATTCTTCATGAGCAGAAGGAGAAGAAGAGGAGAAGGTTCCATCTAATATTAATCACCTAAAATATAGTAAGATAACATATTATCAAGAGAAAAGGAGTATGCTCCTATGAGAGTCCTATTAGGGGTATTGGGGAATATTAGTTTGTTAGTATGAAGGGGTTGTATGGTAATTCGTATGATAATTAGTTAGGGTAAGTTGGTTATAAATAAGGATAGTAGGGGAGAAGGAAAATAGTATTTTGGTGAGGACTTGAGAGAGTTCTTGGGAGAGCGATAGCCCTCTCGAAAGGCTATTGGTTCTTGTTAGGTTCTTGTATTCGGGTACCTAACAAAGGCTATCCATTAAGAACTTAATTCTTGTATTGAATAAATTAGACGAAACTTCTTCTCATGAGAAATAACAATATAAAAATGAAAACATGAAGTTCCAAGAATGAAGAAATTCTCCTCTAATAGGTTCCATCCTAAAAATATCAATAGAGAATAGAAAAATTCATAAATGACTAACCAGAATAAACAGAAATAGCTGATATAAGTGGACCATAAACTCCTCTAGTAGGAACCCTAGTTGTCCCTTTTCCAGCCCAAGAGAATCGGATCTCCAGAACATGATTAGTTACAGTGATGTTATGGAACTGTACTTCTGTCGGCTTTTGAGCTCCTCCCGCCCTCTCTTCAATATCAAAATTTTCCAATACCAATCTATCCTGCAGAAAGTACAATTTTGAGACCATCTGTGAATTCCAATATTGCTCAATCATTATTAAGTACCGTGACAAATACCTGAATGTAGACATCAAATTTCCGCCTTCCAAGACTTGTATATGTCTGATTATCCGTAAACTGTATCTCTGCAAAGTGAAGCTTAACAGAGTAGTTTCCATTATCCAAGCAATGATGGAAATAAGTGAGTGAAATTGGACTACGACGTGCTGTTGAATACATCACGGACAAATTTGTTGAGGGCAGGGATAAAGTGTATCGTGTATTTTGGTAGTCATAATCATCCATGAAATCCCCAGTACTACTCAATCCCCAGTAGCTATCAGGATCAATGTAGAATTTTGCCGTCCCACCTTCGACATCTACATCCCCATGGTAGAGAATGTTGTCGCCATCTACGTCCACGGTAAAGTCACTCCCACCAGAACTGATGAACCAACATCTAGAATCTGTCATTAAGAAAAAATAATAGTCAAATAAACACAAGGTCAAAATCATATTCCTTTCTCATATTCATTTTAATTGTAATGATTGTTTTCTAACTGGTAAAGTAATTGAAGTATAACCTCTTTACTATTTATGTGTTAGGGTAAAAGCCACTGGTAAGGTTCTCTATATATTCTCCTCTTTATATCTATAAATGAACTACCTGTCAGGATGTATCATGTTCCCTTTTCATTATTTCTAATAACAAAAAGGTTATTGCTTACATTTTGGACAGATGGAATTCTCCACGCATGGAAGACCCCCCTGTTTGCTGCAAAATGACCAAGTCAACAGAGCATACATCAGGCGTCAGCACAAAATGTCAGATATACTAGAATTCTGCTTTAACTCCAATGATCATGTAATCTGCAAGAGAATTTCATTTAAAAGGGTAAAATTAGGCAACTTACAGGGTGTTGCCGGTGGAAGAACGAAACAAGTTCAGATTCATATTCCTGTCACAAAATAGGGTAAAAAAAAATCAACTCTATCATGTATCACACACCAAGAACATATCTCAAAGTTTTTTTTTTTTTTTTTTTTTTTTTAAGAAGTGTCTTACATGTTAGTTCTACAAGCATGCTGCTTAGAGCCTTGCCATTCCAAGTTATTGTATGAAAGATCGCTGTGTCAGAGTATAACATCATACTTGTTAGAATGGGATAGGCAAAGTTATCTTTTAACTGTAGTTAACTAGTTGAATATCAAAAGATAAAATGATGCTAGAATGCTCATGTCCAAGTTCACATTTACCTTCATTCCATCAGCTAAACTGACTACTAATAACAGACACCCACATAGCACAAGAGTAAAAATAGATAAAGAACCGAGAACTTGTCAATCAAAGATTGGTCCTTGGAAATGAAAGAAAATGGAACATTGGCTACAGTAGGTCTTGTGTTAGAAGAACAAGATATTTGAAAGCAGGGAAGATTTGGCTTAAGCAGGAAAAATGGTGTTAAATGATTAAAATTTTCTAGCTACGTTACTGGAAGTCATGATAACGTTCTAATTCTGAGATTGCACAAAACAGTTGAGTTCGGGAAGTTCTTAAGAAGAAATATCCATTATTTTTCTCTCGATTTTTGCATCCTAAAGTTTATCCCTAGACATAATCCCTCATAAAAGTAAAGTTTCTCCAAGGCTTTATAAGTGATCTATAAGTTGTGATTTACCACTTGACCCACCTAATTTTCACCATAATCAAAACTTCTGATTCGTTTTGTTAGTTCATGTGATGTATTTTAAAATGTAATCACAAGTAATAATGTTTATTTTTTTAAGTCCCCCACCCCCACACAGAATTTGTCATTGGCTGCACTCTGGATGTTCACTTTCACCTGCTAAATCAGCTTGAAACTAGGCAAAATCGTAAATTTCTGACGTGATATTCCAAGCTTAAAGTCTTGAGGTGGTGCCTATTTGTCTAACTAAATCCATATCTGAAATGTTTCTTGACATTGGTGGTTGCAAAGAAAATAATAAACTTAATAGATTACCAACGTTTTAGGAGAAGGGAAAAAAAAGAAAAAGATTAGCAAATAAGAAGCTTACACATTAGTTCCATCCTTAAAGATTGACTCTGGTAGATTGCCACTTAGCAAATTGCCACTTAGGAAGCTAAAAAAAGATAAAATAAAATAATTGATCAGGATACACCCATCAGTATTATAAGAAGCATTAATAAACATTACAATATTATTTGTTGTCTGCGACATGCCCATGTGTATACTCCAATGAAACTGCAAAACTTATCAAAACAGAGAGTTGTCTACTTACATGAATCTAAGGCGCTCTATGGTTATATCCTCTGGAACTTCCCCAGTCAACTGGTTAAAGCTGAGGTCCCTATCAGTCATGATGAAAAACAACCAAAGTGCATCGTTATGATACATACAAGTTACAGAAAAATGAAGTAAAACTTTTGTATTTGAATCAAAATCATAAGATCAGGAATCTAAGTATAAAAATATCTCTGTCTTTTTCTCGATAATATCTTGATTCATTTGATCCAATAGCGTTTCATTAAAAATTTTATTATGCCATACCATACAAATTTATCATAACAGAGTATCAGAGATCATAAACATGACAGGAGCATACACGTCTTACTTACATCAGTTCCATAACCGGCATCTTCCACACATATGGAGGAATCTTTCCAGCAAGGTTACAATTTCTCAGAACCCTAAAAGAGATGAGCAAATAAGACTAAAAAACATCATATTCTAATAGATTATGTAGAGATGTTGCTAAAAAAATTTCCATCAACATAGATATATGACATACAGTCTCATCATGCTAAACATGCCCATCAATAGGGGAAAATCCTGCTTTGGCCCTTTCATATCACTGATCCTCCTACATTAACAAAATCCAGAAATTTATGAGTTTTTTCATTTCTCTTATGGATGACAATAAAAATATAGAAACAAATTTGAGTTTTACTCACAACTCTCTTAAGTTAATCAAATAGGATATATTTGCAGGAATTGGTCCCTGAAGTCCACTTGCATGTAGTTCTCTTCAATAATTCAATTTTAAACGGTATCAATAATTGATAAAGTAATTTAACATAGGTTTGTTTCTCAAAAATGAACGAAACTAGAACACTTTCTAGAAAAAAAATAACTTACAATCTTTCGAGTTGTTTCCAATTCTGTATGAAGTCTGGCATGGTTCCATTAAGGTCGATATCATTTATTCGGCTGCAGCATGCAAAGAATGTAACTTGGATGAATATGAATCAAACTACTTTGAGAGGTGAATATGAATAAAAAGAAAAAAAAAAGAGAAATGTGTATATAATTAGATCTTACAAATCTCTAAGGTTTTCTAATCCAGCAAACGTTGTCGGCAATGTGCCTGTCAATTGATTAGATGATAGCATCCTGCATATACAGAGTTAAATCAATAAATTGTTACGTTCATACCTCAAAATAAAAAAATTCAAACCATAGGAAGAAAATAACTATGTTAAAGAAAGTGGATAACATCTTACAAGGTTTGCAGACCGCTCAACCTCCCAAGTTGTGATGGGATTACACCAGTAAATTGGTTTGCTTCAAGGTTCCTGATTTTATCAAACATACAAATGAGACATGCTTTCATTTTTTTAAAGTTCAAAGTGATGATAACATGACAGAAAAGAGAAAATAAAATGAATAAACTACGTCATAACTTACAGGTATGTTAGAGTAGTAATATTTCCCAATTCAGCTGGTATTTCACCTGATAACCGATTTACAAGAACAGAGCTGCAAGATATTCTCTAGATAGTTTATTAGAGGAATAAATCAAGACATCGACAGAAAAAAAATGGGGGGAAAGATCTTACATCCACGACAGCCGCATTGAAGCCCACTCCCGAGGTATACTACCATGAAGGTAATTGTATGCCAAATCACTACACCAAGCCAAAAAGTGATTTATAGTTTCTTTTAAAGAAAATATCTCCAGATACAGCCTTAGGATACAAGCCCACTGCACTTACATTTCTTGCAGGTAAGGAAGTTTGACCATTTCGGGTGGAAGAACGCCGGGCAAATTATGCTTTTTGAACTTCCTGACATTAAAATAAAACAAAGGAAACTGCAATTTGAGAATCAAGAACAGGACAAGTGTTGGTGGGAAAATAATTTGATTGGACATAAAATGCTAACAGCATGAATGGTTAATTTCATTCTTTATGATCAAATCATAATTTATTTCAAATGCAACTGGCATCCCTTTGCATGGTACAATTATCGTCCTTCCAATGTTAATTCGTTCATCTAGACCCTTGTTTTTATGATTTAAATCTTGAGAAGAGTCAGACATTTAATTAACAACATCAGAGAATAACAAGAATCATTATCTTCAATAATCCTATTAGAATCTAGTACGCACCTAAGATCAAACTCTTGAATCTGAAAACTTTTTTTACAATCACTTCAAAATGAAAGAAAACCTTTAACTTATTATTATTATTATTATTATTATTATTATTATTTAAAAAAAAAAAGGAGATTCTTGGCATCCAAATAAACTCACTCATGTTGCAATTTATTTCAAGGAGACAGACATAAATATGGGAAACTTCATTTTCGATATGCAGAATTATCATATTGCCATTAATTCTAGAAGTTTAAGTAGGACAGAAAATTACACCAGATAGCTTGTTGAGCTAGAAATGAATATTAAGAAATAAGATAAGAGGTTCATACATCTTTATGACATGACAAATTGTTTCTTTCGCGAACTTGCAATCACAAGTAATTTTACTCTCAGATTCCCTCGGAGCTTTTTCTGTGAGCCCAAACATTTCAATGCTACAGGAGTCACTGTTGAATTTCCAATAAACTGCACCTAACTTTCTCGTAATTTGCTGGAGTGCATCAACTATATTGAATCAAGAGGCATAATGTTAGAAATTAGTCTTTTTATGATATGAATGTGATGAATATCCATAAACAAAAAATTAACAGGCAACATTCAAAACATATAATGGTTTGGTCATACATCATTCAAATAAGATACACTGTTTTATTTGGTTCTTTTTAATTTAGTGAGAATGATCTTGGACAACTCAAATGTTTAGCAACCATATATGAATCTGATTGTGTCAATTATTATTGTGAAATTTTTAGGACTAATTTTATAGTGGATTGTGAAGTATGTGAATGTAGAAGTATATGATGCAGTATTATTTAAGGCAAACTCAGGTGCTTGCTTTACCAATGGTGGCGGTGATTGTGGCTGGGCATATACTATAGCTGCTATTTTCTTGCCATTAACACAAATTCATGAGTAATGAACACCTCAAGAAAGCAAAGCACTGAAGACTGGTTTGATTATAGTACCCTATAATTATATTTAGGATATGTATACTTTAAACTATCAACAACCCACTTTTGTCCAAGCCCTCAATCTCCTTTCTCCTCTTCAAACTAGAAATTTGTCTCCTCGAAAAACAAGGAAACATCCTTCAAACAACAGCAAGCCTCCAAGAGCCCTGAATGTTGAACAATAAGCTTTGTTTTTGTACTCTTCAAACAACACAAAAATATTCTTCAACTAGTCAGCTCTTTGTTCTATGTTTTAAGGTTATCCCTTCATCGTATCTTTTGTTGGGTTGATTCCCTTCTCATCGACCTTCGGAGGCTTTTATTCATCCCTTGAACTAAGAAATCCACACATATTCGAATTCCCAACAGAACTTTTTAATGTCATCACTATGTGTTTCCAAAATGAAATAATGCACTATCTGCCTCTCTTCATTATTAATATAAGTGTTTGGATGAATGACATGGAACGTTTTTGCTTTTAATCAAAGTATATCCTGTATGTAATAATCAATTGCAAGAGAATAATTGACACATTTCATTACTGCGTATTCTCAAGCTCCCATTCCCTCGAGTAACAACCACTGGCAGCCCAGTTGTGAGAAATGCTTGTGGAAGCATCAAAACAATAGACAAAAGGAAGTAATGTCTTTCATTCTAATTCTTTAGAGGTGGTCTTCTATTAGAAATACGAATCTAGTTATCTAAATATTCCATTGGGAATAGTTTCTGCAGTCTGAACTGTTCAGACAGCAAAATATGAGATGGAAATTGCAATTTCATACTGATGTGCTCCCCATATGGGAGTCAATTTAAAGGTTAAGTGAATCATACTAGGATTGACACAGAGAAATAAAAGGAAAAAAAAAAAAAGTTGCAAATCTTCAAACAATCCCTGGGTTAAATATAATAAGTCCAAAATCATATCAGACATATTCTGATACAGCAGAAGCTCAAAGCGCCAATAAACAACCCAGTAGATGCTTAGCCATAGAATTTCAGGGGACAACTAATTTGTGTTGGGCAACTAAGAAAATCGGCAAGAAATTTATCCTTATTTCAGGCAACCACCTCATTTTGAGAAACTATAGCGAAAGGGAAGGAACATACCCTCTTCTTGGGGAAGCTTGGAATCTGCAAATCTCAGGAGCATGAAGCAATCCAGCCCAATAATCATGAACACGAAGAAGCTCTTGACCACCATCATCAAAGAACTGTTTCCTCAAAGAGATTAAGCTCAATCTGTCATGAACCGGAAACAAATAGTAAGCACATAGCCCGAAAAGCAAAAATGGCAAGCGCCAGCAGCAATAGACCCAGATGCAGACAGATTAATTGTCCAATCATTGCACATTTACAGGTTCAAATTTACCTCAAAATGTTTCTAAACTGGGTCTGGAATGAATGGCCTGTCCGCTGCAACAAAAATCTCTCTCGAATGCTTCAAAACTTTTGGGGATGTGGGTCTCTGTGCCTGTTCTTTTCAAATTGCAGCTCTCTTTAAACATCAATGAATATGATTCAGGCAGCTGAAATGGGTAGCAGAAAACGAAACCCAGTAACCAAAATGATATATTTTGGACTGGGGCTGACAAGAAATCTCAGGCTACATGGAAGATTCCAAGTGGTTCGTTGATATTTGTTTGCATTTAAGAAATGAATCAAAAACTAAAAATCAGGAAGAAGTTTTTGAAGCGGAAACCAGCGCACATGTATGTCAAAACTGAAAACTTTTTATTAAAAGATTTGGACAAAATTAAAGCCAACTGAGAAAATTACCAAAATCCTTTTGGTTTTAATTTGGTTTTAGATTCCTTAAAGATAGGCGTATTGATTACTATTTAAGACACGTCTTGGTGGGAGTATTTAAACTATATAACTAAATTTCTTTTCGTTGGACCAAAACCAAACTATATAACTAAATTACTCCCCAATTATTACCCTATTTTCCCTTTTGCCAACAATCATTTTTCCTCTGTTTGCATTACCAAGAATATGAATGGCATTTTCAAGAACAATTCTTCATTTCAAAGCACATGAAAAATGTTGGTTCAATTTATAAAATATGTCTGTTAGGGACACTTCAACTAGCCAAGCAATAACTTTTTTTCTTTCCTACGATGTTTGATTTTTTGAATCTAATCATTACTCCGTTACGAGTACATAGATATTGTATATATTTTTAATCCATATTATTAACATAGAATATTTACTATTTTTATTTGTCGAATGTACAAATTTGAGATGACTCTTAAAATTAAATTTTTTTCCATAATTGCTTTTGAGAAAGGAGTGCTAATTAACCATTTCCTCTAAATGCCTTTTAAATTTTTAAAATATAATCAAACACAACAAACAAATTTAAAGAGCACTTCTAACCTTTTCAAACTTATACCAAAATCACCTTAACGAATAGTGTCGAATGGCTTTGAAGAATAATAATTTTAAATAAATATTAATCTATTTAGAAGAAGACTGACATACACACAATTAAATATGTAAACTTCCCTTTATTATATGGTTTATTTTTAATGATTCAAAATATGAGATTCAGTTGTTTAATAAATATGATATAAATAAAACACTAAAAATAAACTGGGATGAGTTTTGCCAACTACTGTGTACGTAATTTTGTTGTTAATAACAATTTTTAGAAAATAAATAGGTGCTTTTTCAAATTTTCAATAAAGTCCACACCTAGATTAAAGATTTAGAAGGTGGACATTTACAATAAATAAGGATAATGATATATATTAATATATATATATATATATATATATATTTGATTTAAGTAAGAGAAAAATTAGGTAGATTTGACTTAATGAAAATAAAAGATGACCATTGGTGTACTAATGTTCCAAATCAGCCGCCACTGTAATGTTTCTGTACAACGTGGCCCAACCTAATAAATGCCTTACCACTTTTTTCTAAATTATTGAAATTTAAAAGTGGACCCCACAGGCCAAAAGCCCTCGCTTCTTTCTTCACTATTGCCCTTGAAATAAATTAACATATTGTTTCTGATTTCGCATATAATTCTTTTAATGGATTAAGGTATAATTTGCTCGAGGAGAGTTACAAATATAGTAAAAATATTTAATAAAACTAGTAAAGTACTAATTATATTTAGTTTTTTCAAATATAATATTTAAAAAAACGGATGTCCAATTTTAAAATGACAATTTTATATAAATTATATATATCTGCAATATATCTGATTACTGACATATACATGTGATATATATGATATAYTATTGATATGATTGTCTGATGTACTTGTGATATTAAAACATGTCAAATATAATGGGTGATATAACTAAAAAGAAATTACTGGGTTTTTTTTAGCACAACCAATGTGGAGATAAATAGTTTAACTTCCAACTTAAAGGGGAAGGGTAGATGAATTAACCACTAAAACATTAATTAATAGGTTTTTGAACCTTTAATTTTGTGTCTAATATTAGATCCCTACGTTTACAACGTCGCTACTTACATAATATGATTGCATTATTTTCGATTTACGTGCAAAGTTGATTTCAAGAAGATTAAGTATTTCATGGGTGCAAGCATTAAATTGGCAAAGTTAATTAGGACAACATATCATATACAAAATCGAAAATTCATAAATTTATTAGACAATCTTTTAAGTTACAAGATACAAGTTCGAAAGTTAAATCTATTAGAGAGAAAGTAGATGGATTTTTCATACAATTTATGCATCCAACTTGTCATTGAACACTTTTTCAGCTAAGTTATACAAGTAAAGATTATTATGTATGGGACAATAATCTCGTAATTCTTTGAAGGGTAGATCGGTCAATTTGGTGGTTTAATTTTCAAAATTTGAAAGGAAAACCAATGTTTCATGGGAAATGGAATTGGAATAATTGGCTGGCCTCCCCTTCTGACTTCTCTCCAATAATAAAAATGTCTTTTTTTGTCTTTTTTAAGAAAAGAAGAAACCAATATAAATTCAAATTACCGATAAGATATTTATTTGGAAAATTTATGTCGGTGACCATATTTATAATGTCATAATAAAAAAAAGGCTTATTCAACCTTATTTCGAATTTCAAAAGTGATGTGAAGGATGTTTAAAATTGTGGTATTTTCTTTTTAAGTGGGGTCCAAATGTGGCCTAAAAATGGCAGCTTTGTGCTTAAATTTCTTCACTTTGGCAGCCTTGATTTAAATGGAGTTAATTACTCAACCCTTTCTTTCTAGGTTTCTAACATGTTCTTCTTAACATTATTAATTACCACGTTGAATTTTCCTTTTTGGTGTACTAGGAGTTTTTGGAATGAGTAGAAAGTTCTTTTTAATTTCGGAAAAGTGAACCAAACAAAACCACATAATTAAAGAATAATTTCTTCTTATGTTCTCTAATACCAATTGGATATGATGACGATACTAGAGTAATTCTATCAACTCTCATTTGTATGGTCGTTTTTGTCTAAATTCTATTAATTTCATACTCAATATAAATTTTATAAGTTAAAATAAATAATTTACGGTAAAAATCGATACACCTCGCTAAATTCAGAATAAGGAATGTTCTTCGGAAATTTCATCGATGCAAGGGTTTTTTAAAGAATGGAATTACAAAAAAAAACGTGAGTCTTGTCAGTGTTCAATTTTCATAAACATATTTTAGTACTTAGTAGTAAAGTAAAATATTGTTATATATATGGTTAAATAATGGCTGCTTTGGAGCATGCAGACGTGGCAAAAAGAACAGAAAAATGGAAATCAAAATAATTGCCTTTGCAAAAAATAATAATAATAATAATAATAATTGCTTTGTCTTTTTCTTTTTCTTTTTCTGGCGCAGCCCACCTAAAATTTATTAATTAATGCGACAAAAGTAAAAACAGTTTATATTAGAATTAAAAGCCTGCTCCTTTGCCAAAACATATATCACATTTGAATATTAATATGCTACTGTAATTTTATATAATTTATGCGTAGAAATAACAACAAACTTATGAGCAAGAACAATATCAATATAAATACATAACATTTTTGGTTGAATCTAAAAGTCGACCGATACGAACGTAAATCTCAAGTAGATAATATCATACTAATCTTGAGATAGATGAAAAAATAGGCTTGTTATTCAATAGTATAATTTTTGGAACATCGTCTTTCCAGAGTGAAATCAACAAAAATTTACCCTTCAGAAACTGAACAGAAAAAGATTTAGCTTCTCTCCAGTAGGCTAGAGCTACACCAGACAAGTAAAAATGTACAAGACAGCAGCAAGACATTGGAATCAACGTGGACAAGGAAAATCCAACAAGCTGCAGTTGTCTGTATTATTTTTTATCTTCCAAATGGATTCCTTGGGACTGCTTCGCAGAACTTTATCTCCTGTTGATTTCTGGGTTTTGTTTCTCTTTTCGAACTTAAATCCTTGTATTCAGCTTAGACACAGTTTTGAGGGAAATTTGTGACAGTTTTAAGTTTCAAAATTTCATTTTCAGTGGACTCATCTTCCTCACCTGCTATCCTTCAAGCATCTCCACAACATCTTTCATTCTTTCGAAGTTCTTGAAATAGGCAATTGCTCATCGAAGTCACATATGATGCAACCGGTGAGACCTGTCCACGCGGAACATGAAGCAAACCGTCTTCTCAGCTCGACACGACTCGACTCCAATGTCTCTCCTAGAGCTTCCATTGGTTATGATTCAATCCCTTCTCCATACTCCAAATCCTTCGACTTCAAGATGGTTATATCAAATAGAACACGGTTCAGATGGTGTTCTTACATTTCAGCTTTACTGCTACTTCTAATCATAGCAGTTTCATTTCTCCTTCACTTTTTGCCTCATAAACATAACCACCATGAAGCCTCAAACAATCACACAGTCGCAATGAATCAAGCTCTAAAGTTTTTTGATGCTCAAAAATGTAAAAATCTCTCTTAACTCGAGAATTTCAGAAGATCTTTTCATGCCCCTGACTGATAAAATGCTTTTCTCAGCTGGTAGGTACCCAAAAAATAGTCCAGTGAAGTTTCGAGGAGATTCAGGCTTGGAAGATGGGGTTGTGGACAATAAACTGGATGGTCTCGTTGGTGGTTTCTATGATTCAGGAAACAATATTAAGTTCACTTTCCCCACAGCTTATACCATTACTCTTTTAAGCTGGAGTGTGATTGAGTATCATCCAAAGTATGCAGACATGAATGAGCTTGATCATGTCGAGGACATCATCAGGTGGGGAACTGATTATTTGCTCAAAGTTTTTGTGGCCCCAAATGGCACTTCTGATCAAGCCATAATATATTCTCAGGTAAGTCATATGGCCTCCCAATGAGAAAAATTAAAATTATTCCACAACAATGAATTTCACATGTCATGTCTATCACTTAAAAGTAACTCTAATGTGCGATGCTAGGTAGGAAGTGCCAGTAATGATAGTAATGTTCAAACTAATGACAACTGCTGGCAAAGACCAGAAGACACGAGGTACCCAAGACCTGTTTCAAAGTGTGATACCCGGGCTTCGGATCTTGCTGGAGAGATTGTTGCAGCATTATCAGCTGCATCATTAGTATTCAAAGAAGATAACAATTACTCAGGAGAATTGGCGAAAGCTGCAGAGAAATTGTTTGAGGAAGTGACTAAATTAGACCCTAGTGAGCAAGGAACTTACACCTTGGTTGATTCGTGTGGAGGAGAAGCAAGAAACTTCTACAACTCATCAAGCTACATGGATGAATTGATATGGGCAGGAACTTGGTTGTTCTATGCTACTGGAAACACTTCATATCTTGCATATGCCACTGATGCTGTAAGATTTCAGTTAGCACAGAGCAAGGAATCAAGTATTGACAGAGGAATTTTCGATTGGAACAATAAGTTCAGTGCAACTGCGGTAACTGAATCAAAGTCTTATTTGAACTTTCGGATCAAAGATGAAGAATCTAGAGCTGATGAATGTTCTTCATTTTTACTCTTTCATAGGTACTATTGACACGTCTCCTCTACTTTCATGATATTGTCTATCCATATGAACATGCCTTGGGAGCATCATCAAACAAGACAGACATCCTCATGTGTTCGTATCTCATTGATCAACACTTCAACAGGACACCTGGTAAACATTTGTTCGGATCCTATAGATCATAAAAACTTACTAGTTATTGAATTGCAACTATACTTGAACAAATCTACTACCCCACTGGTTTTTCTGTCAACAACAAGAATATATGCAAGTTTGTCTCCTTTAATGTAGGTGGACTGATCATCCTAAGACCTGATGGTGGAGCACCACTTCAGTTTGCTGCAACAGCATCATTTCTCAGTAAATTGTACAGTGATTACCTTGATCTTTTGGGAGCATCTTACATGAGTTGCATTTTTGCCAATCCTGGCTTTTCTCTGGAAAAGTTGCGGACCTTCTCTAGGTCTCAGGCAAGTGCAATATACTAAGAACTAAGTTGATTTTAGAGAGCATTAAGAAAATATCTTCAGCCTTTTTATTAGTTAAGGAATAACATACTGTTCTTCTTTCTGAGAAGAGAGAAACAATTCATATACTGTATTTTGGGAACTATCATCTTTTTGCTTACAAAGGTAGTTTTCATACTTGTTTTTCAGAAACAAAACCAAACAAATGTTAGAAACAATGACATAAACATTCTAGACTAAAGTCTAAAAGTCCTTCAGTTAAATATAAGATTTCAATGGTATTGAACTTTTTCAGCTCAACTACATACTTGGAGATAATCCAATGAAAATGAGCTATGTTGTTGGCTTTGGAACCAATTTTCCCACCCATGTCCACCACAGGGGTGCCTCAATTCCTCGGGATGGTCAATTCTATTCATGTGCTGAAGGGGATAGATGGCTCCTCTCGAAGGCTTCAAATCCAAATATTCTTTCCGGAGCCCTGGTGACAGGACCAGACAAGTTTGACCACTTCTCGGATGATAGGGGTAAGCCTTGGTTTACCGAACCAAGTATAGCAAGCAATGCAGGTTTAGTTGCAGCGCTCGTTGCTCTACACGACTATCCAGGTGATACATCAGATTTTAATGGAAAAGATTTAGGCATAGATCAGATGTCAATCTTTGATAGGATCCCAATGGCTTCTGTAGCTCCTTGATGGTCCTAAGATATATTTTTAACTTCTAACAAGAGCAGAAATGTGACTTCAGAAATCTTCGCTCTGTAATATCCCAAAATCTTTCTTACATGCAAGTATATGAACAAATTGTTTCTTCCCAACCAGCATGACCTTTTTGAGTAAGAAGTTATGCAATCTCATTATTGATTCTATGCTTTTGCCCTATTTATCATTGCTTGTATTCTCTCCCTACAAGCTAATATGGTATCCTCAGTTTTCAACACGTCCATTAATTAATAGATCACTGTAGGAAACAAAATTTCATCCCAAGAAATCATCCAAAGCAATTATCTGCCTCTTCAAAACAGAGACTAATTTTAAAAGCGGAAGCTAAGAGCTAAGACTTGAGAATGACTTCAACAATTTCAGTAGTACACAAGAGCAGTATTATTTTTTTTTTTCACTTCGACAGGATTTAGTCCTTTGTTGTAATTTAATTAGGAACGCCTAATAGGAAAACAGGCTCAAGATCTTCAAAACAGAAAAAGGAACTCTTTGTTGATGAAGAAAACTCGATTGGTAGAATAGCATGGACAGATATTTATAGAATTTGATTTAATTTTCCGGTACACTCTGTAACCAAAGTAATTGAAGATACAATACACAACACAACCCAACCAATCCGCAAGTTCGATTAAAGAACACGACACTAAATAAGTTGAAAGACAATCAATCGGCACTATATTGATCTTTAAAATTTTAGAATCTGAATGCTGCAAAACGATGAGAAGAAAAGACCTAACGCAGCAGCCGCGTACAGGGAGATCAAAAGATGTGGAGTAAACCAGAGACCCACTGCCGGAAAATAACGGATTTGAAGAAAAATTAAAGACACAGAGGGGAAATTCAATCACAAGAGAAGACCTGTTGGGGCAATCTCAAAGCCTCGGCTCTGGTGAAGCAGGTGTCGTCGATTACATCGCTCCGACACCAGCGACACTTGGGGCTCTGCGAACATTGTAACGCCGAAACCTTCTCGCCGCAATTCGGGATCTTCTGGTCTCTCCTCCTCTGGGAGCTCAATAAACTGCGATCCGAAGTGGGGAAGGTGGTTTTCCGATCCATGGGTAAGCCATTGCAAGAGACGCAGAAGAAGAATAAGAGGAGGAAGGAGAGGAGGAAAATGGAGAGCGGCGAGGGAAGATCGGAGCTCCTTCCCATGGAAATGGAGGAGAGGCTGTGGGAATCTAAATCCCACAGCTAAACTTCAGAACTCCACCGCAACTGCTGCAGCCTGGTGTTTTACTTGTTATTGGGAAAAATGCCCTTATAGAAAATAAATAATAATAATAATAATAATAATAATAGTAAATAGCAAATTTAGCATATACAAAATAGTTTTCAATTTTCAGTAGCTCAGCCCATTAACAATTGATGAAAAGTCTGATTTATCCCTCAGCCCAATATATGGAGGCCCAAAACCCAAACCATCCATTTCCTCAGGACATATGACACGGCCATCGAATCCACGACCTCTTCGCGCTTTAAATTACTTTCATTGATAACCTTACTTTCGATTTTCACTGATATCCTACTTTTCAATTTTTTTATATATATTAGAGAATCTTTTGACTTTATTTCTTTCTTCGTCTTTTTTATTTCTTGTATTGCCAATAGATATATTCTAAACAGATATTCATTTTCGACCATGTCAACGTGTTTTCACTCAAATTTTATTTTTAAAGTATTTTTTTAACTATTGTTATCCTAAACCAATTACTCACACAAATGATTTGCAAATATTTTCAAAAGAAACTAGTCCTGTGATGAACTTGAATACTTCCAATTATTATTTGTGATAGTGAACATTGCATTTGAATAGAGGCGCAACACCCTACTCTATTTAAGGCAGACTCGTTCTCATAGAATAAATGAACATTCCTAGCCCTTCAATTTTAACTTCAATTCTCGTTCTAAAATTTTGTTAATATATATATATATATTTCGAATTTAATTTTTACTTCACAAAATGCTTTTTTTTTCCTTTCAATTTTAATGTGCCCTTCAAAAAATTGCACCCCAAAAAATTTAAACTAAAATTGAAAAAAGTTTGAAAACCTTGTTAAAAACAAAATTTTCCAAAAGTTAAAAGGGCAAATAACTAGTACAAAATTATTTAGATCTGGATGCAAAGTGATTTTCCAAATAAAATGTAGCCTTTTCAATTCATATTGAGAATAAAAAAAGGAATCTTTTTCTTTTTCTTTTTCTTTTTCTTTTTCTTTCTTTCTTT